AACTGGGCACATGCTAGGCAAGAGCATCTCCAGCAAGGGATGCACCAGTGCAGAGGTCCCAGTGAAGTGCATGGGCACAGCATCTCCGTTAGGCCCACCCTGCCCAGGCTTGCATGTATACTTGCTCCCCTGCCTGAGACACTAGGTTCTGCCGCTGAGGATGGAAGTCTCAGGTTAACCATAGGATCCGTATGGCTGCCACCCTGTGATGGGCAGTTCTGCCATGCTGGGCTCTCTGGGGTATCCTGCCTTGCATTACTTCATTCAGTCCTCAGCAAATCAGAGCGAATGGTTGTTGCCTTCCTTGTCATGGACATATCCCCGGTGCCTAGTTTAGGAGCTCAAGCGGAGTAAATGCTCCAGAACGTCTTCCAAATGCCTGAATGATTAGTGGGCTATTGGAATCACCGGATGCTCTTGTTGGTTTTTATGGAAATCGACTGCCAGGGAAATTCATCATTCCCGACCCCCCCCCCCCCCCGACCCCCCACACTCTTGAGGACACTTCAGAAGAAGCCTGTTCATTCATGTCCGCTTCCATCTCTGCTGCAAACATGGTTTCCCCATGCACGGTCCTGGGAGAAGAAGCAGCGATAGCTCCATTTCCGAGAGGGGAGAGGGTCAGGTGTGGAGCACCTGGACCCAGGTAGCTCCTGCGGTTGCACAACAGGACCTCAGGCACTGAGGCCGAAGCCCTAACTCCTGCCTCACTTCCCTCTGCCCCACCACACGAGAACATCCTGGAAGATCAGTGTTTAAAGATAGAATCCAGACCATTTGCCTCGACCCTTGTTAGGAGTGAGATAAACAAGCCGAGGATGTTCCGGGGAGGAGCAAGGTTAGGAAGTGCCTCGGGGGACTGCATTTCTTCTCTGTCCTGTCTCCAGGCTGCTGGTCCCTCTCCCCTGTCCTGCTGTGGAGGGCTAGGGAAGGAAATAAAACCTGGCTCTGCCCACCTGGATGGAGCCTCCCTTACTCTGTGGTCCTGAGTGTCCATGGCTGAATCTGCTCTGTGGAAACAGCAACCAGCCTCCATCAGCCTAGCAGGTGTACTGGCTGTGACTTGTGCCCTGGGCCTAGGGCTCCTGATTCACAGAGAAAAGAATCGTGCATCCACATAGTAGCTTATGCCGTAATGTAAGGACACAGGTACATAAACACCTGGCTTGCATCAGGCATGCAGATGACATTTGACACTGGCACTTAGTTATTTTTAAAAAGTGAACTTGAGCTTGAAGCTGACTTCAGCTTGTGCTTGGTTATTGGGTCTGGGTTGTCCTGGTTCCTGGTACAGCTCATTGGCTTCAGCACATGGGGAACCTGGTGAGCCAAGGAAACCCAGCTGCTTCCCAGACCTTGCCTAAAGTGGCCTTAGCCCCTAAAGCAATGGTTTACAACCTTCCTAATACTGTGACCCTTTAATACAGTTCCTCATGCTGTGATGACCCCCAACCATAAAATCATTACGTTGCTACGTCATGACCGCAATTTTGCTACTGTGATGAATCGTAACGTAAATATTTTCGGAGATGGAGGTTTGCCAAAGGGGTCATGGCCCACAGGTTGAGAACCACTTTCCTAACAGGAAGGAAGGTGAAGTCTCTTGTACATTGGCCAAGAGCAGCCCAGCCTCAGCACCAGGCAAGTGGTTTTAGTAACTTTATCCTGATTCATTAAGCAAATGCATTCATTAAGCAGTCTTGAGATAGGGGAGAGAGAGGAACTCTGCTCGGGAGTGGACAAGGTGGTGGCCCTGGCCACGGTCTAAAGCTCTCATTATGGGGCCACACAGGTCTCCAGGAGGAGGAGGAGGGGTCAGGATGCTGTGACCGTGGGGACCGGAGTAAAAGAATCAGAATGTACGGTTGTGATGTGCAAGAGACAAGCAGGGACCAGACTACAGATCTGGAGATTTGACTTAGCTTAAAGTGCAGAGATGAGAGGCTGCCTCCTGACAAGGCGGAGCCAGGGGTCCATTTCCTGACTTCCTGTTCACCTCCCTTTCTCCCTGGTTTATGCGCTTGTCCTGATTTCTGCATAACTCTAGCTAGATAGGAGAATGGGGGCCACTGTTCCTTTACAACAGGGCTGAAACTTCCAGAGTTAGCACCTGCTTGTCTGAGTCATTCCTATAAGCCACTTGGCGGCAGCAGTGGACCGGGGAGTGTAAGCCACAGCAGCACACAGTAGGTCTTATTGTGTGTGTTAAAAGTGGCCCTGCTATACTTCTACAAGCTCCAGGAGGTAAGGAAGCCAGGGGTCCTCCAGGATAACCTCTGAGTGATTTACGGATTCTGAGTAGCAAACCATACAGACAGAAGTCAGCATCATCGACGAGGCTGATGGGAGACATGGGGCTGCTTTGCGCACGGTGCTTCATGTCCCTCATTTAAGCAGAGACCCACCCACAGGGGGAGAACATTCTAAGCAGGAGACATTATGGGCCGAGGTCCTCAGCGGGACTGAGCCAGACACTGCCTTTGAGGCTTGGAGGAGAGTGTGGGCCACAGACAGATTGTGCTTAAGGGATAGGTTCACAGGCATGGAATCAGCAGTCAAGACAAGGTTCCATGTGGATGACCCGAGACACTCGTTAGAGGGCTTTGTGATGACAATCCTGCCCCAGCCTGAACCCTCTGTCTCCAAGACTTAAGCACTGCCTCCTGAACTGGCAGCCATTCACACAGAGAGATTACTTCCAAAGCTACAGTTCATAGTGAAAACAGCAACTCTTCCACCCAGCCAAGGAAGCTGGGGGAAGGGGGGGGTCAGTTTGGTCCCCCACTAGGCAAGAGCTTTAAGGATGAAGTAGAGTGGAAGGGACCCTTGAGTCTCAGGCTCATGATGCTCTCTCCGCCTGGGCTCAGAGGCTCCTCTCCGGGCATCTTGGAACATCTGGTGAGGCTGGTGAGTGGGTCACCGCCACCTGCCACCTCCTATTAGGAGAAATAAGCTTGAGAAAGAACGATTGGTTTTTAATCAGTTCAATTCCAGATTAACACAGCTAGAGCCTTCTTAGTTTTGTAGGCCGTTAGTTCCAGGAGCATTCAAAAATATGCCTGTGGCCGGGTTGTTCTGGAAGACAGCTGAGCACATGGCGAAGGAGAATATGTGTTGCTGTGTATTATGGAACGTTAGACCTGGCGTGGACACTGAGGCAGCCTTGTGCAGATGGATGCATGCTGATTAGTGGACATCATGAGAGTGAACTAAATGAACACTCAAAAAACGGTTATGATTGCCAGGCAGTGGTGGCATACATCTTTAATCCCAGTACTCAGGAGGCAAAGGCAGGTGGATCTCTGTGAGTTCAAGGCCAGCCTGGTCTACAGAGTGAGTTCCAGCACAGCCAGAGCTGCTTACACAGAAAAACTTGTCTCAGAACAACAACAACAAAAAAAGGTTATGCTGAATTTTACTTAATGTAAAAGTTACTACATTAAAATTAAAAGATAAAATCAAAAACCAAACAGACAAAGACACGCACTGCCTTCTCCAAGGCTCCTCTTCAAAGCTGAGGAGGAGGAGGATTAAGTGACCCAGCTCACAGAGCTGGGGAGAGATGAAACCTGGCCTGGAATCCACACTCCTAAAGACCACACTGTCCAGGAAGGCAATCACTATTTGATTTTTGGACTTCCTGACCTGTTCACCGGAGACCCCAGAAGCAACCATCTTCCGTCACCCCCTCTACTATAGAGAGCTCCTAGCAGCTCTCCTTAAGTAGCTACTGTCAGTGGTTTTTCAGACCACCTTGAAAGCCCGAGACCTACAGACACTGGAGGAAGAAGAGGGGAAGACGGGAGGAAGATGGTCACGGGCCACAGGCTGTGACTGAGGACCAAGGTGGCCCCACTGCAGTCTGCCTGAATGCTTTTGGTTGCTCATTTGAGTTCTCTGGCTTGTCCACTCAAGCAGGGTTGAGGCCTAGGTGGGTGCACTTGGAGATGCGGGGACACACACACACACACACACACACACACACACACACACACACGATGTGAATCCCAACTCCAGCTCCAACTTTCCCAAGCCACTGTCTCAGCAGGACTCCAGGAGTGTGGTGAGTGAGAACCACCCAAAGATCAGGCTGACCTCCAACTTGCTGCGTATCTCAGGTTGACCTTGAACTCCTGATCCTCATTACCTCTACCTTCCAAGTGCTGTGATTACAGATGTGTACCGCCATGCTTGGCCGCACTGTGTTTTGCGCTCCGATCTCATTTCTTTTAACATGACTGATGGAAGACGTCATCTTATTTCCCAGTTGTTTTTTTTTTTGTTTGTTTGTTTGTCTGTGTACTGTGTATGTCTGTATTTTACACCCAATGGTGACGCCGTGGAGCCTTGTCATGCTGATGGTGCAAACTAGGCGTTAGCGCCCCACAAGTTCACCTGCCGCGCCTCTCCACCTCCTCCAGCACATCTAGGACTCACACATTCGTATGCGTAAGGTCAAGAGATCTTGAAGAGCTGGGTGGACTGGCGACCGGATGAGTAGTTTGAGAATACTCTTGGGTCGTGCTGTAGTTATCACACCCATCTTCCCAGGCACACAGTCACATGTGAGTCACACACCTCTAATTAGTGCTGGGTGCCATGTCAAGGACCCCAGGCTTTGGAAATGTGACAGGCAGGTCAGGTGAAAATCTAGAAATGAAGATGATCTTGATATTTGGATGCCAGGCTTAGAGGGAGTGAGTGGTGGAGACCGCTTATACTGAAATGGTTCCAACTTGTGCCTATGTCCTAAAGAGAAGCATTGGGTGCAACTAAAGAACAAAAAGGTAAACTGAGGCATCCTTGTCCATTTCCCAGCTCTTTTAGCTTCAAGAAGATTGCTCAAAGCTCCACCCTCAGTATCCTACCCTGTGTATCACATCTAGCTGGTTGAATGAATGAATGAATGGATGGATGAACAGTGGCAGCCCTCATATACAGATGAATAGATGTGTCTTCCCTCATCCTGAGGAGCTCCTGTCCTTCTCTCTTTCCTGCAGGACTCGGGTCAAGCTGGAGAGTTTGGAAGATGCTTACATTCTCCGGGGTGATGACGACTCCCTCTCTGACAAGCATGGCTGCCCAGCGTACGTCAGCCCCGAGATCTTGAACACCACTGGCAGTTATTCGGGCAAGGCCGCGGACGTGTGGAGCCTGGGGGTGATGCTGTACACCATGTTGGTGGGGCGTTACCCTTTTCATGACATTGAGCCCAGCTCCCTCTTCAGTAAGATCCGCAGGGGCCAGTTCAACATTCCAGAAACTCTGTCGCCCAAGGCCAAGTGCCTCATCCGAAGCATCCTGCGACGGGAGCCCTCAGAGCGGCTGACCTCGCAGGAGATTCTGGACCATCCTTGGTTTTCCACAGATTTTAGCGTCTCGAATACGGGATTTGGTGCTAAAGAGGCGTCTGACCAGCTGGTGCCAGATGTCAACATGGAGGAGAACTTGGACCCTTTCTTTAACTGAGCTTAAGGCCCACGGACACACTTAGCAGGTACCAGGAGCAAGAGAGGGCCCCAGAAAGGAGTTCTGGGACACAGGGGGCCTGGCTGGGAAGCAAGACGGACACTCGTATTTACACATTTCTGGGTTCAGAGGAGGAAGACCTTCCAGGAGCTGACCGAACACTTAGCATGGGAACAAGACGTGTGGGATGGGGGTTGGGTGTAGATGGTCGGGAGCCCCTCCCCTAAGCTTCTCTTCCCTGGGGTAGCCTGAGAGTCCCCCTTGCCAGTTGGGCTACTTCATCTACCCTACTTTTCATTTTGTTCAGAAAGAGCTGCAGATCTCGATAGAATTGAAACTCTTCTGCCTCAAACAAATACCTTGGCATTGCACTGTTAGCATTTAACTTCTTGTTATGATTCAGGGAAGGGACAACTGATCGAAGATTTCTTTCTTTTTTTTTTTTTAAAACAGGCCAACCACCTATGTATTAATTAATGGGATTCACTTAAAATAATAATAATAATAATAATTCGGTGCACACAGACTGACCTGAAACCTGGGTGCTAAACTAAAAAAAAAAAAAAAATGGAAGTTCCAGTTGTCGTCTCTCATTCACACTTCTCAACTCATTTCTTCTAAAGAAATGATTTTCCTATTCTGGCTAGGAAGTGACTTGTTAATGCTTGGCTCCCTGAAGGGGGAGGGGGAGGGCCAATCTGTGTGGCATCAGCCGGAAACTATTAGCAGTCAGACTTCCAGATGTACTATCACAATCCAGGGGAAGAAGCAAGGCCAAGAGAGAAATCCAACTCCTTTCTGGGTTTTGTTCTTTCGAAGGAAGAGGGTTCACCCTGTAGACGCGACTTTCTGCTCTGAATAGAGTGAGGGTTTCCAGAGGGCAGGGGGCGCTCCTGGAGTCAGATCTCATCGATGATGCTGAGCTCAACGTTTTGTTTGTCGCTTTATGGGAAACTAGTAAAACGAGACAGGTTGTCCCATGTGTATAAAATATAGGGCAGCTATTTCCTTTTCTCTGCTAAGAATGATCCTTTGGGCTTAGAAAAAGCCCTCTGGTTTGAACAGAAGGGATGATATAAATACAAACAGCTCTGTCCCAATACGCACCTTTGTATTTTCAAGAACTCTTGTATTTATTAAGGAAAATGTCACATTGTGATGTATTAAAGCCAGTACTTCAATTACGGGTCGACGGGATGACATGTTACATGCTGTAGTTAACATTTATAATTTCGTTCCCCTGTTTCAGTATTTCTGTCCCTGGAATAACCTTCCATTTGGCTCTTTCTAGGTAGCCTCATTTGATTTCGAGTGGCGAAATGTTTTCCTTTTGTATTCTGGCTTTTCTATTGCTGTATGATACAGAACTCTTTTGGCATAAATATTTGTGTTCCCAGTACCTCAGTTGTTTGGGTTTGACTGCCTGCATATGTTTTGTGAAATGGTCCTGTTTTCGGGTAGGGTAACACGTGGACTCTAGTGTGTAAATGTTACTTGAATCTGTGCTTCACTCTAGTATGTGGCATGTGTGTGCGGACTCTTGGATGCTTCACGCCTGCTCCACAGGAGCCCCTGTCCCCAGCAGGTTGGCTTCCCCATTCATAATCGGGAGACAAAGCTGCCATGGATCTACCCTTGATTCTATTTTGATAACGGAAGATACAGAGAGAGAGAGAGAGGGTTTTTACATGCGGAAGACGGTGCTGTGGCAAGAAGGACCTTCTATCTTCCCTCTCCCTGTTTTCCAAGCACTGGGTGGGAGGAAAGATTGGTAACATGCATGGTGGGGACCAATGGCCTCTGGTGCTTTGTCCTGTATTTGGTTTAATGTTTTTGTCCTAATCTCTTCAATCAATAAAATTGTGCGTATTTAACTAAAAGTCTGGGGTCTAGGAGATGATTTTTTTTTTTTTTCTGCCAATGTGTCTGTGGCCATCACACACCAAACAAGACATCCATTATTTTCCTACGTACACACTCTTTCCGGTCAAAACCAGGACTCCTCAGAGCTAACTATGTCATTGAATTGGGACACACGCTAGCTCATCTAGATGTAACAGCTCAGGATTACCCACCCTATCGCTCCTAGGAGGATAAATCATGCTCCATTTACAGCTGTGTGTTTCCTCAGACAGGCAAGTAAGTTCCCTTTGTCAAAACGGAAACAACTCATGGATGTCAGAGGTGACGCCTGTGCCATGCAGCTGCTTGGTCTCACGCCTTTTCACTGGCTGTGATGTCAGAGCCCAGGAGTTCTCAGGGAGTGCAACAATCACCCCAGACTTATCTGGGTTACCCTGCCGCTCAATCCCTTCTCCCATGTGGATTATCTGGGGAAAGCCACACCGAGCACAGCTCAGTTTGAAATATCCAAGAAGACCCAGTCTCCAGCAACGGATACCTCCATTACCCTTGTCTCTGAGACTCATGGATTTCCAGGGCTAGATGAGGTTTCCAGACAATCATCTACTGACTACCTTGTTCAGAACAGAAAGACAGCCGAGAGGCCTCACCCCTAACCCAGGAAACCCCACAAACACCTCTCTCTTTTCAGTGCATCACGGAGCCCATGGACCGAGTGCGTGCAAAGACGTGTGTGGTGTCACACGTGGGTTTCATGGATATCACTGTCTGTGCTGGGACCCCAACTGTTCGGGTCTTTCAGAAGGTATTCTGGGAGGAGAGGCATCTGGCAAAAAGATGTAGGTGAGACTAGAAGAGAAACCACAGCAGTAATCTGTCAGAGGAGGGGGAGGGAGGGGGGAGGCCTGTGTCAAGTATTGAAACCCTTATTTGTATTGCCACTATTAATGTCATCCTGTTGCAGAGCACCTCAATGTTGTCCCAAAGATCCATGGATGATATACGGGAGGACATGGCGGAATCCGAGACTTTCAAGCCAATGGGAGCCGTTTTTCTAACCTCAGAGTGTCTACCATTGGAAGACATCACCCCTGTGTCCTTAGCACCTGGCCAGCAGCAGCCCAGTCGGACAGCAGTGGCAGGACACAGTCACGACATAGCTGCTTGTCAATGTGTTATTGATGCCGGGTGACTGGAGCTGCTCAGTTTTCTTCCAGTCCCAAGGCTTGACGATGCACGTCGTTAGAAGACAGCCAGGAAGCACTTGCGGGGCTCCACATAGGCTGATTCAATTTTGCTGCTCTCTCCCTGCCTGTGATTAAGCAGGAATGGGCCTTTCGCCTAATGAATACCCGTTTGAATTGGGTTGTGTCAAATCTCTACCTATGTGGCTGCTGGGGATGCTGAGGTCTCTGGCACACACTCTGCCTATATGAAATGAGCGTCTACCTCTATGGAACTTAGACTCAGCACACACTCTCTCTCTCACACACACACGCATACACATACGTCTGAACTTGGCTAGTAGAAAGCTTGTATTTTAATACCTCTGGATATGTATATATGATATTAAATATATGTGTATATATGACATACACACACACACATATATATATATGATTATGATATATATATATATATATGATTATGATATATATGATTAACACCATTGGGACAGGGCAAAGAGCCTGAGACAGGGAGGACTGAGTGGAGGAATGGGTGGTGGCAGGCCCAGGCTCTGGATCCCTGTTTTCATATTAGCTGTGACTTGGCAAATCACTTTGCTTTTATAAGGACCAAAGGTATCTTGAGGGTGCCTGAGTTAAGGTGCGTCAAGGGCTTAGTCCTGGGCCAGGATGGAATGGGAACCCTTCCTGCTAACAGTAAAGGGGAACACAGAGTGGTGCTCTATGGTGATATTTTATTTGTGCTGAAATGTGATTTCGTTTGTATGTTAATAAATAAAGTTGCCTGGGGGTCAGAGCTAAAAGCAAGCCATTTAGCAGAAGTTCGGCAGTGGTAGCACACACCCTTAATCTGATCACATGGCAGGCAGAGTCTCTGTGTGTTCAAGGACACAGCCAAGCGGTGACTCGAACCTTTAATCTCTGTACGAACCATAGAGACCTGGAGGTCTATATAGACAGGCAGTGACGAGGAAGTCATGCGGTTGGGTTTAGAACCAATGAGAAGGTAGAACAGAAAGGCAATAAAAAGACGGGTCACACAGGAGAAGGTCTCTCTCAGGGGAAGGATGGCAGTAAGTGGTAAGATAAGGTGGTCTTAGTTCTTGGTTACTGCTCTGATCTCTGGGTTTTTAACTCTGCATTTGGCTCTGTGTTTCTTATTAAATAAGACCATTTAGAATTTCATCTACAGTGCTCAAATCAGGACTCTTTGAAGAGCCCTTGAGAAGGGAGAGGGTCACAATGAGAATGTCTGCCTGCTGCAACCAGAAAAGTCCTCTTGGACCAACATTTCATGTAGAGTTCTACTATAGACTCAGGTAGACGGAAACTGAAGGGTTTGTTTCTGTGAATGTCTGTGCCCTTTGGAGAGTCCTCTTGAGAGGTGGGGTCTTTAGGGAAGTGATGAAGACATGAGTTCTACCCTCTGATGAAAGAGTCTGAAGGGAGCCCCATGTAAGGATACAACAAAAAGTCTGCTCTTGATGTAGTTAGTGAGCACATTCCCCAAACAGTCAATCTATTGACCTCTTGAATTTGGCAGTCTCATGTTTGAGGACTGTTAGAAATTATTCTTATTCTTAAATTAGAGTCTAAGGTACTTTGTTATACCACGTGAACAGACTAAGACGTGTTCGAAAACCACTGATCAAGCCCAACTCTGTAACACTTTTCTTTTTTATAAAGTAGCCAAGGTTCAGAGAGGGCCGGGCCTAGGAAAGACCAGAGTCCCTCAATAAGCAGAAGATACAGGGTGAGCTGGAGGTTCAAATATGTATGTACTTGTAAGTGGATAGCCCTCTACAACACCAGCGCTTCTTGTCATCAACACAATTCTCTCCATAGTCCAAGGTCCTCTCTATCATGGGCTTCTCTTCCATCCCATCCTCCTGTGTGTCAAGCTCTGGGGCCAACTTACAGTGGTTGTCAGGTGTTCATCTGTATTAATCATGAATAGCAGTTACTCATAAATGCCTTAAGGTATTCTTATTCATCATCTGTGGCTGTCAGTTGTTTCCAAGTATGCAGGTCTGGTCACGGCTCATGTCTCAACAGACAGGAAAGGCTGGGACAGCCAGCTTCATAGGCTGAAGCCCACGGTGAGCGCATACACGGCCCTTGTCAGGTCTATTTAATTTTAGTCTGTACAAATGAATCCCCGGGTATATATAATGTCACTGTGGGGAACCACACCCTGAGCAACATCCACTAGCGATGGAGGGAAGACCAAAAGAGGAGGCAACATCTACTCCGTGAACATACAACCTTTAAAGGTAGGTAGCAAGTGGTACAAAGAAGTGTAGTGAGGCTCTAGAAATGAAATGAACGGAGGACAGCCATGTAGAAAATAAAAAGACAAAGTGTACATTTGATTCCAGGGATGCCAATTCCTAAAATGGTTCCGCATCGACCCTTTGATACAGATATAAGTACCAAGATATGGGAGTGTCACCAAGCCCCTTCTCTCTCTCTCTCTGCCACCCGTTTTGAGAATGCTTTCTGTAGCTTCTAGACTCAGGACTAGAACAGAGGGGAAATGAAGTTTCTGCCTTTTCCTGAACTTGATTGCCATCCAACCAGATTTGGGCAAGAGCCTTTGAACACATAAATACCCCCTATCCAAAGAGAAATATCTCTGCACTTAAACCGCTAATGAAGGTAAAGTCAGCATTGTACTGACCTGCTCAGGCTGTGGTAACAACCATCATACCCTGGAATCTGGGATGGCACCCTTCTCCTATTTCAAAGCCTGGGAAGTCCAGAGTCAGGGTGCAAATTTGCTGATTGATAACTACCCTAGTCTGACTTTCAGGCAATTTTCTTCTTGCTGCTTCCTCAAATGGAAAAGGCAGGAAGGACACTATCCCGACCCATGAAGGCTTCACCTTCACCTAGTTTACACCCAAGGTCACATCTGAAAATCCCATCACTGTGGGGATGAAGGTTTCAGCATACCCGGGGGCAGACACAAGCAAGTATCTGTGGAATAAAGAGTTTGCAATGTAAACACACAAAGTGTGCCCTGCAAGACACTTCACTGTTGAGTCTGTTTTCTGCCATGAAATAGGTAACCGAGACAACTTAACTCATCTGGGGTAAGTTACCCTGTAATGTGAAGTGTAACCGATGTTTCTGTATGGATGGATGCTTCAAAGGTACCACTGCTTTTAGGCACTGAAATTAACACTCTAAGATGGATTCAAAGGAGAGAGTAAAGCAGGGTTCACATGGAGGTGAACACACAACAGCACTGGAGGACTGACCTGGCTTCTCAACCCAAGGTGCAAGGCCATGCCACTAAGTGTATTACTCCAAGAGCGCCCTTGCCTCCATAGCTTCTGATCCAAGAAACTGGGCATTGAGGTAAATTTGAGAAATAGAGACTAAGTGAATGGGGTCTCTCAAAGAAAGAAACATCAGGCTAAGCCACTCAGGCTGTTCATCTCACCTTACCCCCACGGACCACTGGGCCAGGTGAGGACTGACAGAACCTTTAAGAAATCATTTTAGCCTCTCATTGTCTCTCTTGCATGTGGCATTCCTATGTGCATGCGGACAGGTCAAAAGTGAAGAACTGTAACTCTCCTTCACTGTATTAAGTCATATAGTATTTCCTAGTACTATGCTTTGAACCATGTCTACCAAATGATACCCTCAAATGTGACCTTATTGGGGAATAGGGACTCCATAGATAGAATCAAGTTAAGAAGAAGCTGTGCTTAATTATGGCTTCTCCTAATCCATGAGACTAGTACGTTAGAAGAGAAGGGGAGAATATATATATATATAATATATATATATATATATATATATATATATATATATATATA